GGGGGGGGGGGGGAACATACGATGCCTGGACTTGGTTCTGGTAGGCGTGCTGGAGGAACATGCTGCGGAGGTCGGCCGGGGCATCACCGGGGCGGCCCTGGTCCGGGCCCTCAATGGCCAAGCCACTGTGCGTTGGCCGGCAAAGGCGGATGCAGACCGACGACGAGTGTGTGTGTGTGTGTGTGTGTGTGTGTGCGTGTGTGCGTGTGTGTGTGTGTGTGTGCGTGTGCGTGTGTGTGTGTGTGTGAGGGAGAGAGAGGAAGCGGAAGGGAGACCCGGACAGTGGACGGCTATGGTTAGCAAAGGCACATGGGCACATAGCTGAGGCCGGACAGGTGGAACGCACGAGCGCGTGCCGCCAGCGAAATACTCGTTGTGGCGATTCTCGCCCGGAGCATCGCCGGGGTCATTCGACCGGATGAGGTCCGACATGTTCATGATGCGGGGGGAGCCCTTTGGGGGGTGGGGAGCCGGTGCAGAGCAGCGGAAGGTCAGGCCCGGTTGCGTGGGTGAGGGAAATCATGAGGCGATAGGGGGACAGAGGGGAGGGAAAAGGGAGAGGCAGGAGGACGGCGGTCGGGAGGGCATACATTGTTGGCCTGGCGCCTGGAGGAAGACGATCCGTCGCTGGACATTCTTACGGGCAAGGATGGGATGAGGGAGAGCGGAGAAGGGGGGGGGGGAGGGGCGCTGGAGGTGGAAGAGGGGGGAGGGGAGGGAGGGAGAAGGCGCGAGAAGCGGGCTGACCACCTCCACTGGGTGGGTGGGCTTCTTGCCCCTGGCCCTTGAGCGAGAGGGGAGGAGAGGGAGGGAGAGAGAAAAAAAGTAGGTTCCAGTCCGGGACATCTGTCTCCGGGCACTTCCAGAGACGCCCTGCGGGCAGGGGGGGGGGGGGGGAATGGTTAATCGTCACCCTCGCGCGCATCCTCGCGCTAGTCGAGGCTGCCTCGGGCTCGGTTTGCGGGGGGGGGCTCGCTTGGCTGTCATGGGCTCCCGGGATGGAGGGAAAGGGTGAACGCGGCAGGGACACACCCGCCGCGCTCATTCGGCGCCCTAGAGAATCTCCCGGCTAGCGTCGATCGCCCGGGGGACATGGAGAGAGCCCAAGGCACCACGTCGGGCCCCGGGGGCCGGCGGGGGGGCGGCCCATCCGCCGGCACCTCGAATGTTGCCCCGCCAGCCAGACATGCCACCTCAGCCCGGCTAAGGGCACGGTCTCGGGGAAGGGGGCAGGCGACGCGCCGGCTCATGCGGTGGATACACACACACACACACACACACACACACACACGCAGGAGAACGCGGACAAAGACCAGGCAAAAGAGGGGAGCCCGCAGGCGAATGTGTGTCGAATCTATCTTTGGGTGTATTGTGTCCTTGCAGCAGGAGAAGGGGGGAGGGGGGGGGGGCAGTAAGGAGGAAGAAGGGGGCGGGGGACACACACACGGCCAGGAGGGAGAGGGCGCGCGCGCGCGCGCGCGCGCACAGGAAGCAAGTGGGGAATATCTAGAGGAAGCACCGAGGACGGACGGCGAGAGGGAGGGAGGAGGGAGGAGACAGCGGAGGCCAGGACGGCGGCGGGCACCAAAGCAAGGAGGCCTGGTGTGCCCTCCGCCATCCGACGACCCTTGCCGGCCCTTCCCCCGAGAAGGCAACGCGCGCACAACGTCCCCTCTCTCCCTACATGCCCGCCTGCAGCTCGACCCCACCAGCGGCTCCGCCGCTCTCCGCCACCTCCTTCTCTGGGGGGGGGGGGGGGGGGGGGGGAAACCCCCCCCCCCCCCCCCCGGGGGGGGGGGGGGGGGGGGGGGGTGGGGGGGGGGGGGGGTGGGGGGGGGGGGGTGGGTGGGGGGGGGGGTGGGGGGGGGGGTGGGGGGGGGGGGGGGGGGGGGGGGGGAAAGAAGGAGAAAAAGCCGGCACACGCCAAATCACTTCTTGGGGATGAAGTGACCCTGGCGGACGGCATCACCGATGTTATCCATCCGGGCCAGGTCCCGGTCGCGCGGGTGGTTGAGGAGGGCATTCTCGCTGTGGGTGGCACGGCGCAGAGTGCCATCGCGCTCGCGGTAGGTGTGAGTGTAGTTCCGGGACTCGGAGGTGTCGCAGAACTGCAGAACATGGCGGTTGTCCACCGGGGCCGGGTCCTTGCGCACAACCAGAGCCGGGTCCCGGGCATTCGGGTCGTCGCGCGGGCGCCGGTGGTTCTTGTGCAGCAGGTACTCGATCTGCTCCATGTTCTCCGGGGTGACGAGGTCGCGCTCGGCCCGGACAATGTCCAGCATCTCACCGCGGATCTCCGGAATCCGGTCGAGGTCCATCAGCTCGCGGAAGTTCTCCACATCCTTGTACGCATTGAAGGAGGAATCCACATGCGGCAGCGGCAGGGTCATGCTCGACTGAATGCCACGCATGTAGGTGTTCAGCCGGAAGAGGTTGTGCTCGCGGTCCATCTCCGAATGGGCCATGGCCGAGGCGGCCAAATCCGCGAAGGCCTGGAACTGGTCCACCTCGCCATCCAGCTGGCCGGGCGACATGAAGGAAACATGGTAGAGATCGTGCGCGCGCAGGGCATGCAGGTTCGTCCGGATCGGCACCTCATCATCCAGAGTCCGGAAGGTGGGCACCCGGGACACGCGCTCCAGCTGGTTCTTGGTATGCTGGAAGGCCTCCTGCAGGTAGGACGGCACAATGACATCATCCAGCACGGCGGCCGTGCGCATGACCGTCAGGTTGTACGCCAGCTCGCTGACATTGAAGGTGTGGGCATTGGAGCCCTCATGCTTGTTGTAGAAGGCAATCGGGTCATCCTCATCGGTGCACACCATCGGCGCCAGGGTCTCATCCTCGGCGATCATGGTCATGAGCTCGCCCACGGAGCCCGGCTGCCGGGTCTGGATCATCTCATCCAGGGCAGTGAACAGGTCCAGGGTGTCCTCGGCCGCCGGCAGGAGCAGGCGCTCATACATGTAATTGTTGTGATCGATGATCTTGTTCAGCTCATCGATCGAATACTGGATGAGGGTCTGCTCGCGGGGGCTGATCTGCTCCTCCTTCTTGCCGCTGGCCTTGATGGCCTCCAGCAGGGGGTCGATCGAAATGTGCGGCTGGATGCCATCCTCCCGGAACTTGATGTTCGGGTGCTGGGTGAACTGCCGGATGAAGGTCTGCACCTCGTCCACGGAGTTGAAGTTCTCGAACCCATGGAACAAGGGGTTCGTCATGGGGACCGGCAGCTCGCGCGTCAGGTCCTCCACATCGTCGATGTCGGCATCGATGTTGAAGGTGACAAAGACCGCCGGCGGCAGGGCGTCATTCGGCGTGCCATCCGGGTTGGTGCGCTTGAAGTCCGGCAGGGGCAGGCGCGTCTGCGCCCGGGACAGGATCATGTCATCCATCATGCGCAGCACCAGCACCAGGGCCGCCTGCACCGGGGTCAATGACGGGGCATCATGGTACGGCACCAGCGGGCCCTCGATGGCGTGCATCATCTCCGCATGGAGGTTGTCACGGGCAATCTTCATCTGGCGGATCTTCCCATCGAAGAAGTACTGGGAGGACTTGGGGAACCGAGCGGCACGGCTGCCCAGCGGCATGCGCGGGAAGTCGAAGTCGTTGCGCGGAGCCCGGCGACGAGGCCTGGACGAGCCGCCCTGGCCGCCATCGCCCTGGTCCGAATCAAAGCCATCCGAGCCGTCGGAATCCTCATCGGAATCCGAATCGTCGTTGACATAGTACTGAGCAACGTCCAGCCGCTCGGTCGGCGGGAAGAAGCTGTCCCGAGTGTCGGCCGTGCTGTACATCTGCTTGCCCGGGGACATGTAGTCGGCCAGCGCATGCATGAAGACGAAGTCCGCGCGGGTGGCGTCATCCGGCAGCTGGTGCGGGTGGACAACCCCACCGAACCCGGCCGACCCGAAGTCCATCACATAGCTGGGGTTCAGCGGGTCATCCTCATCCTCGTCGGATTCCTCCTCGTCCTCGAGGGAGCGCTCCTCCGACGGGTCGACATACAGGCCGAAGGTGGCCGGATCACTGCCGGGGCTGATGTTACGCCCGGCATCCAGATGCCCCAGGCCGGCCAGGGAGTTGGCCAGAATCTGCATGTGCCGGTCGGTATCCGGCAGCAGGATGCTCATGGTGTTGGGGATGAAGGGCACCGCCGTGCCGTTCATCATGTCGAAGATCAACTTAAACCGGTTGGCATAGAACACCCGGTCATTGAGCTCCCGCAGCAGCGACAACCGGTAGGGCAGGTTGATCCGGTGCTCCGGCAGGCTGAAGGGCAAGTCCGCGCTGAAGTGCGTCGACCAAAGCTCCGAGCCGTAGATCTCATCGAAAACGGCATCCGTGTTGTAGGCATAGTTGAAGCCGGCCGCCGCAATGCGCATGGCCTCCTCATTGGGCACGGCCATCAGCGCATGGCGATCGACCGACGGATTGTCGAAGGTGGCAAACAGCGGCCGGATCTCCGGGCGGATGTCCCCCCGAGACCGGTAGTACCGGCTGGTGTCCAGATCGTCGGGGAAGTGCTCCGGATAGCGGGCACGCATGCGGGTCTCCAGCTCGTCGATGGCCTCGACACCCATGGCATGCGCGCGCAGAAGCTGATCCTGGCGACCATCATACACGGCCGACAGGAAGATCTGCTGGCGAGCGGCCAGGGCCGGGAACTGCGACGGCAGCGGCAGCGGCACATCGAAGATCGGCATGTCCCGATAGTAGTTGAAGAAGTCGAAGCTCCCGCTGGCATTGTAGTTCTTGTAGACGGCATTGCCAATGACCTGGGTCGGGTCGAAGTCGAAGTTGATGTTGGCATTGAGCTCGCGCTGGGCGGCATCGCGCACCAGCCCCAGGAACTTGTGCGCCGCCAGGATGGCCATCGGGTTCTGCACCGCGCCCGGCATCGGGTTCCCATGGAAGTCCACCTCCTGCAGCATGACACTCAGGAAGTCGGCCATCTGCTTGACATTCGGGTCCTTCAGCTGGCTGTACAGCTGCGGCGCGCGGCCCTCCCCGAAGATGGAGCCCAGCATGTCGCGAACCAGCGGATGCAACTCCTCGATGTTGTTGCGCGCATCGTAATCGATCGTGCGCTTCAGCAGCTTGGCATGAGCCTGGGGAGTGGTGGTCGACTGGTGCACCTCGTCGAAGGAGTCATCCTCGCTGTCGCTGTCATCGGTCTCGCGCACGCGCGGCGACACGGCCCCACGACGGCCAAGACGACCACGCTCGCGGAGGTTGGCATGCTCGGTCTCCTCCGGCCAGAAGACCACCTTGTCGGACCCATGGCCGCGGCTGGCCTCGGCGAAGCTGGCCAGCGTGGACGTCAGCGACCGGTGCCGGTGGTTGAGGGAGAAGTCCCCGAGCCAAGTGTTGGCCGGGTCCAGCACACCGAGGCCGATGGAGGTGAAGCTCTCGGCCGGCCGGCCGTCAATGCGCAGCGCGCTGTACTGCTTGCGGAACTCCTTCATGCGCGCGGCGAAGGAGGCCAGGTAGGTCTCCTGGCGGCTGGGCAGCAGCGACTGGCTCAGATCGTGCGAATGCTTGTACCGGAGCTCCTGGTACAGCTGCAAATCGCGCACCATGTCACGCATGCGCCCGGTCATGTTGTTGGTGTTGAAGAGCATGCGATCCAGCAGGGCAAACACGGCATCGTCATTGTCCGTGAGCAGCTGCTGGGCCTCGCTACGAGGGAGCCCATCCAGCTGGGCGATGTCGAAGATCTTGGTGGTCGACGCGGCCAGCCCATCGAGATCCCCATCATGCGGCAGGGTGTGGGCATAGGCCGCACGAACACGGCGCACCCGGGCCGCATACTCGTCGAAGCTCGGCGCATACAGCCCAGCAGCGCCGGCCGGGATCCCGGCCCCGGCGCGGTTGTCCATGAACTGGTCATACTGCGCGCGCAGGTCACTGTCCGAGGGGTTCAGGAACCGGTCCACCAGAGCCGACCGGTCCTTGAGCTTGGTGCCGCTGGCCACGCGCGAGGCGATGATGCTCGGCACGATGTCCCCCACCTCGGTGCCCATCTCCACGGCCTGGGTCCAGTAGGCGCCAAACTGCGCCTCCAGCTGGGTCTCATACTCCTTCATGAAGGGAGCCACCTCGCGCATGTGGCGCACGTGGTACACGCGCAGCATGACCAGCTTGGCCAGCAGGCGCTCATGCTCATCCAGATCCTGGTAGTTCAGCCCCTTGGTCGGGCTGTCGGGATCGGTGAAGAGGGCCTCCTCCACGGCGTCCAGCTTGTTGCCGTAGTTCAGCGGGAAGACGCTGCCCATGACGGCATTGTTGACCACCACGCCCGGATCCTCGAGGGCCAGGGACCGCTCATCGAGGACCTTGTTGAAGGGGTCCTCCACGTAGGCCTGGATCTGGGTGTCGGACATGCCGCGAGTGAAGGGCTCGATCATGGCCCGGCGGCGGTTCAGACCGGCCGTGTGGCTGGCCTGGCTCTCCATGGTGGTGAAGAACCGCCGCGAGGAGGGGTCCAGCACGGCGTCCGGCGCCTCCGGCATGTTGGGGATGTACTGGTAGTTGACCGCACCGGGCTCCATGCCGATCGGCGACGACAGGTTGTCCACCAGACCGGTCATCTCGTGGTCATGGTGACGGCCGTAGGCGCGGTTCTGCTCGCCCTCGATGAGAGACTCAATCTGGAAGTGGTTGGGGTAGCCCTGCGCGGTGATTCCGAGGGCCGGTGGTGGAGGGAGACCGGGAAAAGCAGTGTGGAGGGGGTGAGTCAGGGGGAATGGCGGCACCGGCCCGTTGGAAGGAGAGGCGCCGGTGGTGATGGTGTGGCGGTGGCGGTGGCGGTGGCGACGACAGGGAAGAAAAGAACAAAAAGCAAAGAAAGAACATTGCGGGCGCTCGGCCGCCCCCGCGGCGGTGTGGCGGTACGCACAGCCTTGTTCAGCTCGGCACCGCGCTGCTGGATGACCAGGACATTGCGGGCCTCGCGCACACGGAGGTTGAAGAGCAGGGCCAGGTTGTTCGGGGTGTAGATGTCCGGGTACAGGCGATTGAGGTGGTACATCTGCTTCTGCACATAGCCGGTGATGGTGTCCGGCCGGCCGAGGCGGTCGCGCATGGTGTTGCGCATATCCAGCTCGTGGTCCTCGTCCTCATGCTCGTTCAGCAGGCCCTCGTCGATGTCAAGCGGGGCACGCTGGGAAAGGGGCGGGGGCGGGGGCCAGCAACGACATTCGCCAAACACACAAGGTGGCCACGAAAGAGCGAGAGGCGGATTAGTAACTGCGGGAGCCGAGCAGCGGGCACCCGGGAGCCCGGCAAAGGGGAGCACAAGTCGGCAGCACCGCACGCACCGGCAGCTCGTGAGTGTCACGGTGAACGAAGTAGGTCAGGTCATGCGGCGCGGCCATCTCATTCTCGGTGATGGCGCCGAAGTAGAGATCCGAGTTGTTGAGGAAGTACTGCGGGTCCTGGGTGTGCATGCGCGGGGAGAAGGTGGTGTAGTTGTTCTCGCGCGAGCCGAGGATCGGCTCCTGGCTCCGGGGGAGGAAGGTATGCGCATCGAAGGCCATGTTCTCGATGATGGGCCGAGTGAAGAGCAGGTACTCCAGGTTCTTGGCCACCCAGTCGCGCGCGTGCACGGGCGAGTCGAAGTCCGGGATCTCGATGGCCCGGCCGGCCAGCGAAATGCCCGTACCCTGGGGCAGATCCTCATGGAAGGACCGATACAGGGCATAGAAGCGGTCCTCATACTTCTCGCGATTGGACATGATGGCCTCGAAGGTCTCCTTGTTGGAGGCATCCACGGCCTCGGTCAGGATGGTGGGCAGCTCGGCGGCGAACTCCTCGCGAGACATGAGGGGCAGGCGCTGGGCGGCATACGCGTCGCCGACCGGGGCCAACGAGCGCCAGCCACTGACCGGGTCGCGGAGCTCCCGCCCGGCGCGCAGCTGCGCCAGGTCGGTGAGAGTGAGCCGCGGGCCGTTCAGCTGGGCCAGGCGGTGGTTCACCCGGGCCAGCAGCTCCAGATCCTGGAGGGTGGCCTTGCGCTTGTCCAGCTGCGCCTGGAAGAGCTCGGTCGCCAGGCGGTCGATGACCTTGACATCATACTCATTGTCACGGATTTGCAGGCGACCGGCCGCGCCACGGATGGCCGACGACCGCTGGAACATGTGGTCCCGCACACCGACCGGGCCCAGATCGAAGCCATTCTCATCCACGGCGTCCAGGGTGTCCAGGTCGGCGAAGCTGGACTCGGAATGCTGCATGGAGAAGCGCAGATCCATGTCATCCACCATGTCATCCCGGGAGATGGTTCCATCGTACATCTGGCCACTGAACTTGCCGGCAAGATACCGGTACATGTTCCGCCGGCTGGCGTCGCGGCTCAGGTCCTGGTTCCAGAAGTGGCTCATCGGGGACTTGGCACCGTCGGCCAGGAAGCGAATGGAGTCCCGGGCCTCCGGGTCATTCAGGTCGAAGTACTTCTCGTTGAACTTGTCATCGATCAGGGCTTGCAGGGCCTCGGCATCGTGTGCCGCATCGCCGGTCTTGTGATCCAGACGCTGATAGGCGCGCGCATCCGGCGACATCTGCGTGGAGAAGAGGCGCGCCGCGATGTGGGCCGCGCTCAGGCCGCCGGGCGGCGGCCCGGAGGCGAAGCGCCTGGAGGCTAGATGAAGCATGGCAGCGGCTGCTGCAGGGGGTGGGGGTGGGGGTGGGGGTGGGGGGCGGGGGCGGGCCGAGGGGAGTGGCGTGGGGCGAGACACCGGAAGATCCGGGCGGTGAGATGGACGTTCGGGCAGCGGGGAGGGGGGAGGGAGAGGAAGAGGGGGAGAAGGGAGACTCCTCGAGCGAGCGAGCGAGCGAGCGCGCGAGAGAGAGGGGGGGACAAAGAAAGGAAAGGGCGAAGAAGGGAGGTGTGGTTGACGTGGACGAACAAGCCAAAAAGGGAGACCCGGGATCAGGGACAACGGGTGGCGTTTGGGCGCGGCGGCAAATGCAGGGGGAAGGGGGTCGTTGTCAAGAAGTGGCAAGGAGGGGGACGACTGTCCTGCGAGGGGTCAGGCAGGCAGGCGACGAGGGACACGCGAGTGGCGGTGAGTGCCCTCCGAGGTGAAAGGTGGCAGAGGTGAACCCGGGGGGGCAGGGCTGGGCGCAGCGCGTGCCGCGGAGGCAAAGGCAGAGGTGGGGGGAGGAGGACGCGTGCGCGGGGAAGCGAAGGGGGCAGGAAGGCGCGGGAGGGGGGGGAAGAGACCAAAAGGGGACTTGGTTAGAAAGGAGGGATGACAGTTGGGAAGGCGGGAAGGCGGGAGGGCGGGTGGGCGGGGGCAGGAGGGGGGGGGCATCATCATGGCGGGAGAGGTGACGCGATGAGAAGGAGCGGGGGCGACCGAAAGGGAGAGGAGGTAGGGGGTCGACATGCAGCAGGGCCGGGCACTGCGTGCACGCATACAGACACACACACACACACACGCGAGCGCGCGCGCGTGCGCACGCATACTAGCGGCCAGTGCCCGCGCGCGATCCGGCGGAGCAGTCGCACGTGCGCGTGTGCCCGCCAGCCACGCGGCGAGCACGCCCTGGTGCAGTGGGGGGCATGCACACGCGCAGGCTGCTGTCGCATGTGTGTATGTGTGGCTGCAGTGGGGGGAGGGGGGGGGGGAGGAGGGGCGAAGCATAGAGAGCAGGGGGCGAGGGGGGCGAGGATGTCGATGGGGGAACTGAGGGGGGGGGGGGAGACTCACAGAGGTGCCAGAGGGGTTACCAGAGAAGGGGGGGGAGGAGGAGACAACGATGAACCAGCCGAGGAGGCAGGCCCCCTCGGGCAGAGTGGCATCAGCCACAAATAGCAGGCTCCAAGGACTGAGCACAATGGCCCAACTGGTCGGGTCCCCCTCTCCCCCCTGCCCGGCAACCACGGGGGCAACTCGCCCTCTGCCTCCCTCCGTACCGCAGGAGGGCCGATGGAGCAACGGAGCGAAGGCCAAGCAGGCAGGGGGGGGGAGGCATCATCATCGCATAGCCACGGACCCCCGGAGCACAACCCCGCGAGTCCGGACACGGAAAGCGGAGGCCCGCGGTCACTCGGCGCCCGTGCCCCCCCCCCCCCCCCGCTCGCTCACTCATCCATCCACCGATGGACCGGAGGCCACCCGGGCAACACACAGCACCGAGAACCAAGGCGCAAGGAGACGAGAGGAGTGGGCTAGGATGACGCGAATGCGCGTGTGCACACGCCGGCGCCCGGGCAAGACAAAGAGTCTCACAGACCCTTGGAAAGACGGCCTGCGCTCTTTTCCCGGCCTCACCCGCCGGCTCCGCCCCCCCCCAACCACCAGCACCCGGCGCACGCGCACGCCCGCTCCCTCCCCCGCCAGTGTACGGGCTCCATCATCAGGAGAATACCGTTCGGCCACGGCATCTACGCCGACAGAACGCCCCCAAGGGATGGAGTCGTGAGTCAAACCGCTCCATCTGACTTTGTAGATTGCGGGGGCATGGCCCCGGCCAGGGTGCACACACACAGACTTGGCCGCGCGTGCCCGCCCCACACATCAGATTGAACTGGCTGTGTCTCCAGAACACAGGATATAATACTGTTCCGAAGAAGAACCTCCGCGCCCTGGCCGGCGCAATGCGCGTGGCTGGCCCCCGGATGGGCCCGGCCGATACATCCGCAGCACTCCAAGGCCCAAGCACATCTAATATTTGAATATAAATATGCCCCTTTGTCGGGCTCGTGCCCCAACCAACCCTAGGCAGCCACCCCCCCCCCAGGCGGGCCAAACACCATTGTGGAAATGTCGAAAACAAAAGGAAGTTACATTCACATGATATCGCCGATCATCCGGTTGAGGAGCTGCGCCGCCACAAAGCGCGTCCGCTCCATGTCCACCGCCATCAGCTTCCGAGCGATCGAATTTGGCCAGGTCAGCGGGCAGTGCGGGGGTGGTTGAGCATGCGTGCGTGACTGTGTGTCGTGTGTGTGTGGTTCCCCCCCCCCCCCCCCTGCCCCTCCGCCCCCGTTGTCTCCTGTCGCCCATGCCTCGATCGGCGATGTCCGCCGGAAACAGGGGCGGGAGATCGCTCGCCTTACGCTGGCGATTATTCCCCGGGAAAATAAGACAGACAGTCTGCCTGCATGTGCGTGTGTGTGTGTGTGTGTGTGCGTGGGCCCACCCCAGCATGCGTACCTGATGAATGAGACCACCGGGTTGGCTCCGCTCCCGGGCGCTGCGTGCCTTGGCAGCGGACTATCGTGTGTGTGTGTGTGTGTGTGTGTGTGTGTGTGTGTCGATCGCAAGCACATGGCCGGATGCACGAGGTCAGAATCGCTGCAGGCCCAGGTGAAGGGAAAAAAGCTCGAGCAGCGGCTCCCTTGCCCGGTGGCCGCCCCCATGGCCCCCCGGCGTGGCCCGGTCATATATGGCAGGACACGCACCTTGGCGTTTTCCGGCGCCCCGGCCCGAGGCTTGGCATCGGCCGAGAGGTCGTGCGAAAACTTGCACATGTTCCCGCGCTTGCATGATCCCTTGCGGAAGAAGTGACACACCCGGACGGTCGGCTGCTTGGGTCCGGCGCTGGCCGGGTGCTCGGCCGCGCCGGAGGGCCCAGAGGTCGTGGCCACGGGCGCCTGCTCAAGGGCAGCCTTTTTGGCTTCGACACGCGCGGCCGTGGGCCACCGGGCCCGGCGCTCGGCCTTCCATGCCTCGATGGCCTCCGGGGTGTCGAGTTTGGGGATCCTGCAAAAGGGCACATCGGTTAGCGACCGAGGCTCCCGGAAGCCACATCCACAGCGGGGATGTCGAATGGGGCACAAGGGCGTACCGGTATCCGGCGGCCGCAGCATAGGCAATGGCCTCCATCTTCATGGACTCGATGCGTGCTTTCTTGGCGGATCTAGCGAGGAGGGCGAGTCGGTCAGTGGCCGCATTCGGGGGGGGGGGGGGGGCGGAGCTGTGGGCACAGGCAAGATCCATGGAGCGCACTTGTCGCCGGCACCATCCTCACCGTCCTCGCCGTCGTCGTCGTCGTCGTCGTCGTCGTTGTCATCTTCCTCTTCATCCTCCTCCTCCTCCTCCTCGGCCCCGTCGTCTTCATCATCCTCGTCGTCCTCCTCATCGTCAATCGGCTTGTGAGGGGGCCCGTCCGAAAGATCGCCGGTTGGGGAGAGGGAGGACCGGGTCCCCGGGTTTGGTGCCGAAGCATCCCGGGCTCGATCAAGGGGTCCCATGGTTGTGGCAAGCCGATGGGGCTGGAGACAGGGCCGCCGCCGAGACCGGGGGCAGGGGAGAGGGAGGGCAAGAAAAAAAAGCGCCGTGTGTGGAGCGACCGACGCCCGGGGGTGTGTGGCTGGGGGTGCGTCGATGCGTGCGAGTGTGTGCAGGAAAGAAAAAAGAAGAAAGTAGAGCTGTCTATGCGTGTGGGCGCGTGGGTGCGAGTGCGGTGGATGCGAGCGCGGGAGGGGCGGGGGATTACGGCATACCCCGGCGCATGAGGCAGCATGCCGGTCCGAGATGAGGGCCGCTGTGCTGGCGCTCACCCGGCCCGGCGCTTGTTTGCCTCGGCGGGCGTTCAGTCGCGCCGGGGATCGCCCTCATGGGCCCGGGTCGCGGGCATTGTGCCGGGATTCATGCTGCCAACGGAATGCCCCGGCAGTGGTCGCGCGTCTTGGGGACCCGTTGGCTCTAGTCTCGGGAAAAGGGGGAAGGGGGGGAAGGGCGGGGGGGACGAGAAGGCGCGCGGGGTGTCTCTCCGCCTTTTTCGTGTTGTTGCCTGGCAGACTGGTGCCCGTCCGGAGATCGCCCGCACCGTCGGCCGTAGGGGCAGTCGGTGCTCGAGCACCGCCCCCCCCCCCTCCCCGCGGGCTGCATGGCGGCCCTGCCCGCCTGCCCCCTCGCCTTCCTTGCCCTGGCTTGTTCTCGCCGGAAGGCCGTTGCGTGTCGCGCATCAGACTGCAAGGTGGCCGGGCGGGGGACAAAAAAAAGAAGATACATTTAGCCCCCTCGCCCCCCCCCCCCTTCCTGGCAGATGGAAGGGAGGGGGCGGGAGGGGGGGCCGGGGCGGAGGGAAACATGTGTACATGGACGGGCGGCACAAAGGCAGGAAAGGCAAGGGCGAGCGCGGCCGCGCGCTGGAGTGTGGGCGGGGGGAGAATTGTGTGGCGGCTCTAGTGCTTGATGGGCGGAAGTGGTAGTGCGGCCACTGACGACCAGTCGATCTGGCTCTCGATATCTTCATCGATTTCACCGACAACCGCGCTGGGTCGAAAGGCATGCCCGTCCGAGGGAGGTCGTGGTCAGGGCCAATGTGTGCATCCATGGGCAAGGGTCAGGACCAGGGACAAAGGGCGGCGGCGGCAAAGGCGGCGGCAAAGGCGGGCAAGTGGCTAGGTGAGGGCGCAAGGGCGCAACAGGGTGCTGGTGCGACACGCACACATTGTCTCCGCGGACGACCATCGTCCCGAGGGAAATCTCCTCAACACCCTCGCCCTCGGCGGCCGGCTCGGCCATGAAGGTCTCACCAGCCCCTTCGGCCGGCGGCAAGCCTGAGCCACGGAAGAGACGTTCCCGCAGGTCCGACATGGTGAGATTCATGACCGTGTCTACACCGCGGAGTTTTCCCTGGAGGCGTCGGTGTACAGGCGTGCACAAGTATCAGCAGGTGTGTGTGTGTGTGTGTGTGTGTGTGTGTGTGTGTGTGTGTGCGTGTGCGTGTGTGTGTGCGTGTGCGTGTGGAGAGAGGGGAGATGGGGGAATTGAAGGGTGGTGAGTAGGAGAATAGTTTGTATGGCAGGGGTGGTCGATGTGGAGAGGCGGAAGGGGAAGGAACGACGAAGGACGTTGTTCTTGTTTGCGCACGATCAGGACCCTTCCCTCGCAGGTCATCACGAAAATATTCCCTTTGGCCGGGTGGGCAGGCAGGAGGACGGGAGTCGCGGCAACACTTGTCAGAGCAGGATAGCCGGAAGGAGGGAGGTATGGGGCAAGCGAGTGCAAGGCAGATGCAAAAGAAAGGCAGAGGGGGACGCACGACCAACAAGTCGCTGGAGCTCGTTGCTCATGGTGTAGCTTGGGCGTGTCTCTTCTCTTTGGCCGCGGGGCGGGCGGTCTCAACAGGGCAAGTGGAGGGAGAGTAGCAGGGGGGGGGGAGGAAGGAGCAGGGAGAAGGAAGAGGGGGCAAGAGGAAAAAGAGGAGGAGAGGGAGGGAGGGAGGGGTAGGCAGGTGGTGGCTGGGCGGGGCGGGGCGGGGCGGGGGGGGGTGTGCTCAGAGCAGCGCGGGCGGCCGGCTGCCAAGTGGGCGGCCTTTCGGTGCTCATCCTCGGGCACGGGTGTTTGGCTATGTCTAGCCCCCCCTCCTTCCCCGGCCGTGCGGCCGGCGGCCCTGTGCCCCCGCGCTGCTTTCTCCCTGGGCATGCCGATAGGCGTGTGCGCGCCCCCGCGCGCAGTCTTTGCGAGAGCCGGGGGTCGGGCGATCAGTCCTCGGCATGTGCATTGGCACTTCGTATGCCCCGAGCTGGCGATCGGTCTGCCGCCTGCCCCTTCGCCGCCGCTGTCAGTGGCCCTTTTCCGCGGGTGGCCCGCCCGAAGGGCCGGCAGGCACCCCCCGGCAGATCGCTTCCCGCTCGCCCCCCCCCCCCCCTTCTTCTCGGAAACATGCGGCTCAGCCTCTTGCTTCTGATCGTCGTCGCCCTCCTCCATCGGGCCCTCGGTGCCCCGGTGAGCATGGGGTGCGGCTGCTCGTCGGCCGCCCTGGCCGCGTCTCGCCCGACCCCGGGCCTGGGACGGCCGGCCGTGTGCGCAGCTCGAAACCTGGACCTCGACCGGGCGGCCCTCATGGAGCGCATGGCCCGGGATCTGCCTCGCCCGGCGGATCCCTCGCAGCAACTGGTGCTCTTCCCCCGGCCAGGGGGCACGGCCGGGGCCGGCTGCGGGCCAGGGGCCGTGCGCATCGGCACCGCCGAGGCGCCATACATGCATGTGGATGGCGAGTTTCCGCCCCGATGCGTGGTGATTCCGCCGGATGTGGACACTGTCGGGCCCTGGCCCGGGCGGTTGCCGGCCGGCGATTCCATGGCCACCAACCCGCGGCCGCTCTACGTGCAGGCCGGCGAGGTGACCGCCGCTGCGTTTGCCCACTTCTCGCTCGCCAGTGGTTATGTGAGCACGCGCGAGCGGGATCCCCACCCAGATCGCGGGGGCTTCGTGTGGGAGGGCCTTCTCAGCCAGGTGCGCATATCTCCCCCCACCCCGCCTTCATGAGGCCTCCTGGCCGCCGGGGTTCCCCCCCCCCCCCCTGCTCGCCTGGTGGCGATCGCTGACTTCGTCCTGACAGCCCGGGCACTCGCCGGCGCACTGGGCCCACGATGCGGCCTTGCTGCAATCCAGTGTCCCATGGTGGCGTCTTGTCGACCGAGCCTTCTGGCACTCGCCGGAAGGGGAGGACTCATCGCTGGTACGTACAGCCGACGGCCGGCTCCCCCGCCGGTCCATGCCAGATGGCATCCTTCGCTGACCCTTCTGGCTTGCCTCGCCCTGCTCCGGCCTGGTTCCTCCTCCCAGCTCGACGGGCCGCTGGGCCGTCGAGTGGACCACCCTGTGACGCATGTGTCGCTGGAGGATGCGGCGGCCTTTTGTCACTTCTACGGCATGCGCCTGCCGACCGAAATCGAGTGGGAATGGGCCGCGCGGGCGGCACGCCATGCCCCAGAGCGCCGGCGGCGTCTTGCTCCCCCGGGGCCGGCCTCCCCGGGCGACGCGCCGCCCTGGCAATTCCCCTGGGCCGCGGCCTTTGACTGGCCCACGGTGCGCCAAAAATGCCCCTGCCCCCTGTGGCGCATCCGCTTCCCCACCATGTCCCATGGCGCCGAGTGGCCTGCCCAGCTCCCCCACTGACATTTACCCGTTCACCAAGGGCACGCCACGGGCCAATGTCTGGCGCGGGGACTTCCCGGGGAACAATGTCGATCTCTCGGAGGCGGGCTTGGTGTCTGGCGGGGATGGCTGGCCCGGGACGGCTCCGACGGGCGCCTTCCCGGCCCAAGTGCCCGCCCCCTTCCCGGAGCACACTCTCCGGCCGGCCGGCGGCCCGGCGTCTGCCCCGGTTGCGGGTCTCTTCAATCTAATTGGCAATGTCTGGGAGTGGACAGCCACGTCGCGACAGGGCCAGCCAGCAGGGGGTGCCGTTCTCGAGGAATTTGTCCTCAAGGGCGGGTCGTACATGTGCCATCCGGTACGCCGGTGCTCGTGTGCTCGTGTGCTCGTGTGCTCGGTCACTTGCACTTCCGCTCGCTTGTTTGTGTTACTCCCGGGCCGGAGCCCGTTGGGGGCCCATTGTGGCGGCCCATGGCCTCCCCTTCTGCCCTGCCCCCCCCCTCCCCCCCCATGACCCACGGTCGTTGACTAATGCCGCATCTTGTCCCTGTCGCCCCACTTTGCCCAGTCGTTCTGCCATCGGGCGCGCATCGGCGCCCGGTCCTTTGCCTTTGGCCAGCTGCCTGGGCCGATGGCTGTCGAGGATACCGAGCAGCTGGCAACAGCCACGGGAAACCTGGGCTTCCGGTGTGTGGCCGACCGGCCGCCACCGGGGTATGTCCCCGTTTGAGGGCCATCTTCGACCCCCCTTCTCCTCTGGACCTGCCCCAGCCACGTGTCCGGAAAATAATCCCTCCATTTGCATGCTGAATGGTGCCCTGCCCTGCCCTGCCCTCTCTCTCTCTCTCTCTCTCTCCCTCCCTCTCCCACCCATTTTATGCATGCTGCCTTTCCGGCCCCGCGAGGGAGGGGGATTGTATTGGAGAAAAGAAGGCGAGGCCCGCGGGGTGAGGATGATGGATGCGGGCCGCCAGCTTGTGGGCCCATTTGCACGTGCGACACAGCGTCAGGCAGTGGGTAGGAGGAGGAAGAAGGGGTGCGGGGGGGGGGGGGGGGGGGGGGGGGGGGGGGGGGGGG